GTGGAAATGCAATGCAGCTTGTTCATATACATGCATCTCTCTTTGTGAAGTGTAAATACAGAGGAAGAATTGTTATGCTTTGGTTGTCTTTATCTTAGTGAATTTAATCCAGAATCAAAACTTCAGAAACTGTAAGTATCAAAAAGTATCTTAGAAAACAAAAGTGTGCTGCTATGTCCCCACTGTAAACAGTTCTGCTTTCTCTGTGTGTCTGTATTGTCTTCGGCTCTCAGACCAGCTCTCAGTTTCTGGCAAGCAGGGAATATATATTTCAAAGACATTGTTTTGAAATACAAATACCCATAATGTTTAGCCTGTGTTCTGTGGAAGCTGATTTGTACCACAGTGCTACATTTGGTGGGAGCAGGCAGCCTACACTTCTGAGTTGAGACCTTGAGATACAACTGTGAGCACAAATCTTTACCTGGCTCGCCGCAAGGATAGCTAGTGGATTCCTGAGATTTGAGCCTGCGTATTTTAAGTTCTTATGCTGTGTAGCTGTATTTATTAAACAACAACAGCAAAAAAATCAAGTGACCTATTCTTTGCAAATTAAAAAAAGTCTTAAAAGAAGTGTGTGGTCCTTCTATAAAACTGCTGTTATACCCTGAATCTAAAGCAAAAGGCATCATTTCTCACCAGAGGTGGGAACACAATATAAAACTCAGAATAGATTTTTGGCTGCTTTCCTTCCATTTTATGTATTATTCCTTAAGGTCTGTCCCTGAATCTAGGACATTTTTATATACCTGTAGGTAACATTTAAAATTAATGGCAGTCTTTCAGTTGAGTTTAATGGGATCTGCTGTATTTTATCAGATCTCAGTTGTGAGATGGGCTGTGCATACAAGGAAATCTTAAGACCTCTGTTTCTCCCTGGGTGAGTTGCTTAGCAGATAATCTGCTGCTGCCAGCAGACTGCTACTTCCCTTCCTGTCGTGGAGGGCGGAGGCATCCAGCGTAGACAGACATAATTGATCAGACCAAGATTACAGTGTTTGCCACTAAAATTAGCATCTACCTACACTTGTCACACTGTTATGTTTTATAAAAGGCAGCTATTTCCTAGATTTATTTTACTTTAGTCTTTTACAGAGATGCTTGCTGTAGCATTTTTTCAGTAGTTTCTTTTTGATGAGTTCAGGTGGCTGAAAATGAAATTCCTTATGAGTCCAGAAAACAGGGTTTTTTTTTTAAATACTTGTGTCAGCTTTCCACCTTAAGTAACCTTACTGCCCTCCTTCCTTGGCCAGCTTTGTTTTTCAGGCCACAACACAGCTGCGCCCATGTAAACCATTTGCTGCATCTCCGTAGACAACAGCTGCCTTCAAGAGGACTGTTTGGGGCCAGAGTTAGCTGTTTATGTGCATTATTTTGTGGCCATATATATTAAGCTCTTTGGGACAGGGTTTGGCTTCGTGTTGTGTCTTGCACAGCACCAAGCAAAAGAGTTGTGAGCTATGTGACAGCTGTAGGCAAAAAGTTCACCATCTGATCCCCTGCAAGTGCCAGCTACTTCTGTATATGTTTTGCTCCCATGGTGATCGCAGCTTCAGAGCCTGTTTCCTCCACACCCCTCAGATCAAAACAAACTTTTTCTTGAGTTTTAAAGTGTGTGTGAAGCACATGCATTAAATGTAGGTTTTGAATAGAAAGACATGCTGAACACTGGCTAGTTTCAGAAATTTTTTTTAAGTTTTACGTGTGAATTGCTCATATGCTGACAGACTTTGGTGCTTCTATAATGTCTCCTGTGTATTGGCAGGCAAGCAGTTTAGAGGTGGATTAGGGTACTCCTGTGGTCCAGTTTTGTTCAGCAAAGGGAGGTGGCAAGATCCAGTTGTCACTTAGTAGTGGCATGAGTTACAGGAGCTTCTGCAGTTTGTTGCTGTGAAGGAGTGAGACTCTGGAAGGGCATGTACCAGGTTTCCCTGCGTGTCATTCCTCCACTGTCGTGGCACCATGGCTCAGGTGGGGTGTGCAGCAGGTGGCTATGTGGCTCCTGGGTGCCGTGAGGCCTGTGAGAACGGCTCGAATCCTCCACTCCAGCTGTGCTGACCCCTTGGGCTGTCCCTGTGGTGTCTGAGAGATGGTCAAGGTTTTAGGATGGGTAACAAGAAGAAGGTATATAAGCAGAAGAATATGATGATATTTTATTGCTGCTGAATTTGAAAAGACCTCACCACTGTTTATCTGCAGTGCCAAATAGGTTTAAAATTGTTGTTTCGCATTTTTTTGATTGGTATTTTGTGCACTAAATACAGATGAGCATGCACATGCACATACAGTCTACAAATCTATTAATGATTATCCTCTGTCATTCTCCTCTAAACACCTGTTGGCCAGGTGTGCACATATATTAGCTATGTGCACACATGCATTTACCTGATTCTGTTGGTGGTATGTTGTTTTTGAAGGTCAGCACATTTACATATACATTTGATGGTGTGACAGTGCTGAGGTTTGTTTAAGGGTGGTAATGAACAACCTACATGCTCAAGATTCTTATCCTTTGCTTTCCAAGTGCTGTTGCAATAATTGAAAACATGCTTTAGTAGGCTCTTAGAAGTTGATTACAAAAATTGTAATTTTGCTAGATTTTCTAGATTCTTCTATGCTAATGTCAAGGAGGTTTACACTGCTGGTTTATATACGGAGAAAATGCTGACCTATAAATCTGTGATACTGAGTACGAGTTCAGTTGCTTCTGTGTCCTGCAGACAAGCAGCCTCATTTGGTGAGATTTGGAATTTAACGTGCAGATTATCAGTCCTAACCTCTTTTCATCAGACGGACCCTCATTATATACAGTAGGGATTAGCACAGTTAAATTGTATTTTGAAATGGTTGTTTCAGCCCCCTATCTGATTAGGGCTGGTTTGCTGATTTAGGGGATTTTACTTTGTCTCCATGCCTTATTCTCACCCATATGAAAGCATATTTGCTTTACTTCTCGTGGCTGGCTACATAATAGCAGCATAGGGATTGTATTACACTTCCCAATCTGTTGATATGGAGGACTGGGCAAGAGCATAACAAACCACTATTGCTTCAACTCCCTGTCTCCAAGGTAAGGCTAATCAGCTTTTGTTGAAAACAGCAATCGGGGATTGCTTTCTTTCTCTCACTTGTTTTTTAACTTCTTGGTGCCAGATGCTTCAGTGCATGCAGTGCCAGGAGAAGACGTGTGCTCCCTGGATTAGTAGTGTCACTTTTGCACAAAGACATTTCAATATTGTTTTTCCCTGATACGGTAATGAGTCTGATGTGGTAGTTAGGACTCCAAACACCGTGCTTTCTGTCTCTAGTCTGGAGTTTAACTTATATTGTGTTTCCAGCATCTTTCACCTGCTGTGACAGTTTTTCACATTTCATTATTAAAGAACATTAACTATTTTTTCTGGTTCAAATCCTGTGCCTTAAGAGCTTCTTAGTTTAGCTGCCGTCCTTCTGGCTGAAAAGAAAGAAGATAGGATTTCATCCAGACCCTGCCAGTGTTGTTTTATAGTCTTTCGGAATATCTAGCCACTTACACTTCACAGGTTTTAATATAAGTAAAAATTTTGGGGGAGGGGGCACTTTTCTAACAGCAGTTCGACTCTGAAGCAAAAACATTCTCTCTACATGCGTGTGCTTTCCTATGAAAGCTGATACCATTTTATTTTAAACATCGAAAACATAGCCCTTGTGGATCTGCAGACTGCACAGTCTGAACATTGACTAAAGTATTCTTCAAAAAGCCACTGGGGATTTATTAGTCCCAGTTTACAGCTGGAGAAAATGAGGAGATTGTTTCGTTGGTGGCAGTACTTTCACTCTGGTTGAGAACACAGATTGGATTTGAGAAAGGGGAGATTCTAAGCCTTTTGCTCCTTTTCACTAGTGCACACCCTGCCACAGTTGAAATAGGCAGATTAAACCTCTTAGCTGATTAGAGTTATTTTAAGGCTTTTTGGTTTGTATTATAGATCTGTTCTGTTCAGAAATGTGAATGAGAAATAATCACAAAATGTGTAGCTTACATTCAAGAGTTTTCTTGGACAGAATGCCTGGAGAAACCAAGAAAGGGAGAGAAATTCAGTTAGCCCTGTAACTGTATGAGATTTATAACTGAAAAAATATGTCCACAAAACAGATATTTCCACTTGGTTCCAAGTCAATTCACTTATCTGCTGATTGCATGCGATTGCAGCTCTCTTCACTTCTCCATGTGCAGTGACTCGTAGATGTGTTCTTGGAATTCTGCTAAAAAAAATCCTGAAGTGTAATGATCTTAAAAGAGGAAGGTCGTCTTTTTTTGAGGGAAGATAATTTTATGTTATTTAATCCAAGTTAATATTTGGTGTTGGTCTAGAAGTAAATTATGCTGGGTAAAGGTCAACATTACACAACTGAATCTCGTGTATATACACAGTTTAGGCTATATATGTTTTGTTCTCACCAGTGCAGTTCATCGTAGTGTGATCATTGTGGTTATCTCAAGAAAAAGAGAAAAACCACCTCGTACTGTAACTCTAGCTGTTGGGTTTTCATACGTGATGCATGAATTTCACATTTTTTATAAATGTGTTGTACTCACGAGCATCACGTAGATTCATTGGTACATCTCTAGACTCATTTTATAGTATGTAAGCTATAGAAAGTATTACAGAAATGCAAGTTTCAGTTAATTTAAAGGAGTGTCTTCAGGGGCACAAATGGATGTGGAAGTTTAGCAGAGACAAGCCCAAGCAGTGTGCGTGTTAGTTTTGGGGTGTGACAAATTTTTTTGGTTTAAGATTACTGTGGTACTATTCATCTAAGTGTGTACATGGTAACTATAAGGGCAAGAAAAGACGATTTGGAGTAAAGGGGGAAACTGTATAAATTTTGAGTGTTTAAAAACAACCTAAAACTTAGACTGTGTATTATTTTAAATCATTTGAAAAAGAGTATTTTTTTTGCTGATGCATTTTATAGTTTAGCACTAACACTTAAAGACTTTTGTGCTTTGTGTGCAGGTATATGTCTCGAGTCCATGGTATGCATCCAAAAGAAACCACACGTCAGCTGAGTTTAGCAGTCAAGGATGGTCTTATTGTTGAAACCCTGACGGTGGGGTGTAAAGGGTCAAAAGCTGGTATTGAACAAGAAGGATATTGGTTGCCAGGAGATGAGATTGTGAGTATAAAATCTTTGAGAAAATAAATCCCGATTTCTGGTATCTTAGCATGAAACTTGTTTTAATTTCTATTTGAAGTTATTTATAGATGCTGTGTTGGTGCTTGTGAACAGGGAAGTAATGCACTCTTAAACTTTTTTAACCTTTTCTATTCCATAGAAGCTCTTTCTTCTTGAATTCTGAGGTTTTTGCCATGAAACATTGGCAAAGTCCTTTGCTCAGTCATCTCTCACTTTTATGTAGTATTCTCTTCTACAGCTGTATAGGAAGACAGTAAATATTATTGGTATTACTTGAAATCCTCAGATGTCCTCAAATCCCAAAGACGGTATCTTTAAAAAAAAAAGACAACATGAATTTTTAATTAATCTTGCTTTAATCTGATTCTCAGGAAGGAAGAACTCCTCCCTTTCAAAAGTGCAACAAGAACTTGTACATTTATATACAAACACACATGAAAAGATGTGTTTTACAGATATTTGTGAACACCAGGGCACTCGGTTAGGAAGGAATTTCTTAGCAAATTAGTTACAGGCATCCAGACATTGTTCCACTGGATGTGTAAAATAAATATTTAAATTCAGTTAATCAGGTTGAAAGTGATGTGAAGGGAAGAAAAGCATGTTTTTATCCCTCCGTAGCTGAGATGGAATGCACTCACAAAGTTAACTGAGAATAGTCCCATAGACCAGGAAAATGCTTGCGCAGTTGCTTTGCCTTGTTCAGAAACCTGGTCTCTGTATTTACAAGACCACGTTTTTGTAATTTAAAAAAAGAATTTGGCAAAGCTTTAAAATACTTGAACTAGGAACTGTTGCTTTGGAATATAAATTGCATTAAATACTGGTAAAATGGACAGCATTGTCTCAGACACAGATAATAATTTAAATTTTGAGGAAAAACAGAAAAACTCTACAGGAAAATAAATTCTAAAAAATACCAAAATACTCATTGCATTATTGCAGCCATCAATAAGATGCCACAAGTGAAACAACAGATTATTTTTTGTTTTAAAGTGAGAGAAATAGAAAGTGGAAGCAAGCAGCATCCATAATAGAAAACATTATGGTTAAAATTATCCCAGTTGTACTAATTTAAATTCTTGAAATATGTATTTAATGTACATTATGTCACTGTTAAGATTCTCATTCTAATTTCATCAGAAACCCTCAAAGGAACCTTTAAAGGGTATGTAGCTATGTTTTTACTATTCTGCCCGGGGAGCAGGCATTTCAAAATTCCAGCTTAGCTCTTTTAGGTATTTCTTATGTCAGTTTTATCTGCTTAGAGGTAGTGTTAACTGTGCAGACTCAACATGACATAAAGTCTGAGATCTGTAGTTATCTCAGGTATTCAGTATGTTTGTTTCCTCTATTGCTAAGAGAAAAAAAAAAGAAAAAAAAAATCAAAATGCCTCACAATAGCCATTTCTTAAAACAGTAATTCAAAAAATGTTCCTGATACTAATTAGCAACATTTGTCTAACAAAGCTTGTAAGATAACCAGCAGGTAAATTCCCAGTGAGTCATTAGAATTGCGTAATTATTTTATCTCAGAATGAAAAGAGTTGTCTTTGACTTGACTGAAGATGCTGCTTAAGTCACATTTTGAATAGCCCTTTGGTTAGAAGTATTGACTGTATTTTCAGCATGACTGCTAATCACTGATGCATTGTGCTGTGTCCATATGTCTGATGGCCATCTCAGTTGTTCAGAACACCAGTGCACACTTGACTTAACAGTTTTATGCATAAATAGGAATCAGCTTCTGATCCAGGCCATGTTTCAACAATACCCAACCTCCAACTTTTTGATCCTAATACTGAATCAAAATACTGAATCAAAACACATTGACTTGGTATAAAGTCATTCTCTTTGTTCTTTTATTCAAAAAATTTTCATGAGTAACAAAGTGTCATTGTCATCACTCAACATCAGATCAAGTATTTTCCATTCTCCAACAATTGGTGCAAAACCATGAAGTTTGGTATGTTCTTTATATTGGGCACACTGGATAGTTTTACAGACGCTTTGTCTGCACTTGATCAAGATGCAGTTTGTAGTTCTTTGTAATTCAGTACTGCTCAGATCTGGTACTAATGACTATTGAATCATGAGTTCAAGTTACATTTCAGTGAGACAAACACATAGGAGTCTTTTCGGAGATCCACTTGTAGGAGATAGAACTCTATGAAATAGGGCTATTAATGTTGGAACAGGGATTTCAGGCTCATCAACCTTTAGCACTTATAGACAGGCCCTTGACCCAATTGTCAAACTCAGTTTGACTGGGACTACAGGAGCTTGGAAAGCTCATAATGTGGAAAAGAAGGACTTGAGAACTGATCCACCGCTTATGGGCATGGGTACAAAAATGCCTTTTGATTTTAGCTGGTACCACAGTGGAAGTCAGTAAGGACCAGCTGTTTCAAGGAGTTAGAAGAGGGACACATTCCTGTCATCCCTCCCCCCATTTTTTATTTGAGTATTTGCTTGATATGCTTTACATTTTTGAAGTTTTGGATCTAAATCTTAGCATTTTAAATCCATATTCAAGTAAATAAATTACGGGCCTGGGCCACAGAACTGCTGAGCACCTGTGTGTGTTACTTATATAGGTGCCTGACTAGAGGCTGCCGCAAGGCCTGAAAGTACTGGTTTTAATGATGACTGCTGACTGATTGCTAAATGGTAACAATAATTAAAAGCATACAGATTATGAAAACACAGCTCTATTTGGAAAAAATTCATTAGATAATCTGTGGTGCTTTCTTACATGTTCCAAACATTTGCACTATCCAATAGGCTGACATAATGATAGATCTGTGCAGTAAGGACACAATCTCTGATAGGGTTACTGTTAGCCTTCAGCAGAATGTGTTAAAAAAATTATGCTATTTTGCTATCGTTGTTCTATCAGTATGTTGAAGCTGTGGTAAAAAAATGAAGCAAAATCTCATATATTTAGAGAAATCATACAAAAGAACAAGCTGAGGAGCAAAGACAAAACAGTTTGAGGGCATCAGGAGGAGGCCCTACCAAAAGGAACAACTCGTGAAAATGAATATTCTGAAAAACTGGAAAAAAGAATGGTCAGATTTAAAAGACTATAACATTGTTCTCTTTTTCTCTCAGATATATGTGGGAGAAGTATTTTTATGTAAGTTACTAAATTTAAAATACAGAGTCAGTTGCCAAATGTGCTATATTCCAACTGATATTTAAGGGTTGGTACCTATACAAGAACTTTGCTGCAAATATTATACTTCCGGGGCTTGTGCAGGTACTCATTTTGTTTGCTCATTTGCCATCTATACAGATGTTTTGCAGATTTTCAAAATGTGTTCTCATCTTACAGGCTTTCCCATCTTGCAGATGATTAATGCATTTGACACAAAATAAACGAGAAGAAATTATTTTCCATTGTTATCCAGGATTTTAGTTAGGAATTTTACATTTTCACTGTTTGTCGATGCCATTATAATTCAACAAAATCTCTGCAGCTTCTTACCTTGCAAGGGAAATGTCAGTCCTGAAATCTGGTAATGGTACTTTTTCTTTCTAAAAGCTTTATTTCTATTTCTCACAGAACTTGTGGCATTTGGAAGTGTTATTTATTATCAACATAAAAGAAATTATCTTCTTGCTCTTCGGGTTTAGAAAAAAATTTGCAAATCAGTGTTGTTAACTATGTTTTCAATGCAGTTGATAAAATGTAGTAGAAGGGAAATGTAGTTCTTGAAGAAAAGAATCATGAATCTCCTTACCTTTTTATTTCTATTTTCAGTTATGCCATGATTTTTATGTACTCTTATCTGTGTAAAATAGTGGTCAGTCTAATCCCAATGAAAGAAATCAAATTAAAGCACCAATGTCATGTAGCTTTATGGGGGGTTAGATACAGTTCTTAGACTTAGTTTGTCTTACTCATTTACATATTTTGTGGTTTTTCTACAGACAGTGTGCATGGAGCTATTTTGAGCATTTAATGTGCTAATTCTTCTCCTCATGATTAAAGTCATAAAACTGCACTGACCCAGAGAGAGGCATTATGAATGTATAATTTCAATTTACATGTGTTCATGAAGCCAAACAATATTGTGCTCTTCTAAAATAGAAATGTGTTAGTAATGTGGCTTCATTGTTTGCATCTGAATGCAACATAGCTCATAGCACTGCTGTGGTTTAAAGTTGGTTCATAGTGGCCAAGGTCTCTAACAAGGTGTGAAGAGTGAGACTTCACACTTAGTTAAGGCACCTTGAGCTATTTCTTCACTGACAAAATACATACAAGGTAATTATGTTTTCAAGAGGTCACTCTTTTACAGAGTTCTATTTTCTGATCATTTAATTGATGGTTTATAGAAAGAGCCAGCAACTCTTCTGGCTAGTTAAGGCTGACTTTGGGGTTTAGTTACAGTCATTTTCCTGTGCATTTGGTCCTCTCTGTATCTAAATTACTGCCTCTCCAATTCTTCCCTCTCAAGATTTTTTAGTTTAGTGGAGAGCATGCTATTTGGAGGGGCAGTTGGCTTGCGTTCCTGTTTTCAGGAAACATTAGAAGTAGAATGTGCTTTTTCCCAACACACCCATGTATTCATAACTTGCTAACCCATTAATGGGGATTTTCTGATACTTTATATCTAGAAAGTACTGGTGCTTGCTCAAAGTGACTCCAGATACTTTTGAGTCTCAAGGCTGCCTAAATAATCCATCTCCTCACTCTGTCTGCTTTCCCATCATTTTAACCTTTGTTGTAACCCACTGCCAGTACTGTGAGTATTGAAGGTGATTTTGTTAACCCTAGTGACCTTAGGCACACACCCAGTGATTATTGTGATTTGATGTATTGCAGGTTCAATTTTGCTAGGATCAATCTATGAGAAAGGAGTATTTTGGCTCTTACGTTTGTGTTAATCTAAATTGCTTTAGATTGAGTGAAGGCTGGGTTTCTTACTTGCCATGCTTAATTGCTTTTGTAATTATATTGATTTTTCCAT